GTGGAATGTTAGAAGATGATCCAATCAACTTCTCTCAGGCCATGAAAAGTTCTAACTCTCAACAGTGGATTGATGCCATGAATGAAGAGTATAAGTCTATGCAAGACAATAAGGTTTGGGAACTTGTCCCATTGCCAGAAGGTGCAAAACCAATTGGTTGTAAATGGATTTTTAAAACCAAGCGGGATGCAAACGGTAATGTGGAGAGGTATAAGGCGCGTCTTGTGGCTAAAGGCTATACTCAAAAGGAAGGCATTGATTATACAGAGACTTTCTCTCCGGTTTCATCGAAAGACTCTTTCAGAATAATCATGGCACTTGTTGCTCATTATGATCTTGAGTTACATCAGATGGATGTTAAGACTGCATTTCTCAATGGAGACATTGATGAGATGATTTATATGGTGCAACCAGAAAACTTTGTGTCAGGAGACCCAAAGAATATGGTTTGCAAATTAAGGAAATCCATCTATGGACTCAAGCAAGCTCCTCGTCAATGGTATCATAAGTTTCAACAAATAGTTATCTCGTTCGGTTTTGAGATGAACATTGTTGATGACTGTGTATATCACAAGTTCAGTGGGAGTAAGTATATTTTTCTGGTTCTGTATGTGGATGACATCTTGCTTGCCACTAATGATATAGGCATGTTGCACGAAACCAAGAGATTTCTATCAAAGAATTTTGAGATGAAAGATCTTGGGGACGCCTCTTTTATATTAGGGATCCAGATACATCGAGATCGCTCTCGGGGTATTCTTGGATTATCACAAAAGAGCTATATCGATAAGGTACTTAAAAGGTTTGGCATGCAAGATTGCAGACCAGGTGACACCCCTGTTGCTAAAGGAGACAAGTTTAGTCTCAATCAGTGCCCTAAAGGTAACCTTGAAATTCAGGAAATGCAGAAGATTCCTTATGCTTCGGCTGTAGGAAGTCTAATGTATGCTCAGGTATGTACGCGTCCGGATATTGCGTACATTGTTGGGATGTTAGGCAGATACTTAAGCAACCCTGGTATGGATCATTGGATAGCAGTCAAAAGGGTTATGAGGTATCTTCAGAAAACAAAAGATTACATGCTCACATACAGAAAATCAGAGAAATTAGAGGTCATTGGGTATTCGGACTCTGATTTTGCTGGATGCCAAGATAGCAGGAAGTCTACATCAGGCTACATTTATATGTTAGCAGGAGGAGCTATATCATGGAAAAGTGTCAAACAAACACTAGTAGCTTCCTCCACTATGGCAGCAGAATTTGTAGCTTGCTATGAGGCATCCAATCAGGGAATATGGCTGCGAAATTTTGTCACGGGACTGCGCATTTTGGAAAATGTTGAAAGACCACTAAGGCTATATTGTGACAATAAATCTGCAGTAATGTATTCCAATAACAACAGGAGCTCAACTAAGTCAAAACATATTGACATTAAGTTCCTGGTTGTGAAAGAAAGGGTACAGAGTGGACAGATATCCATAGAGCACATTGGGACAAACTCCATGATAGCTGATCCTCTTACTAAGGGATTGCCACCTAAGGTCTTTCAGGAGCATACTGCTCATATGGGTGTGGTATTATTTGAGGATATTATGTTTTAGTGGGAGTTTGTATTTGTGGTGCTTTATGTTTGTTTGTATTGTCTGATCAGAATAAAGTTTTCAGTTAAGACACTCTGTTACATTATGTTTGGTTTTGAGCTCACTAATGAGGACCAGTTGAAAATAGACATGTACTGATCACATTGCATGTAATTTTCATGCTGCACATCCATGATTGATCTATGTCGTTTGATTGTATTGGTATATGTGACCATTGATGGGTCGAGTCACGATAAATGTGACGAAGGCCGCTTTGATCCTATATTGATATAGTCAATGGACGAGATTGTTCGGAAATACCATTTCAGTGATAGCAATTTTTGAGCTCATAATGTTATACACAGTTTAAGGAATCATATGGTGCCCAAGTGGGAGATTGTTGGATTTAATCTAATAAATCTATTTGTGGGCACATATGATTAAACAATGTGTATTGCTATCTTTCAGGATAACCCACTAAAGTGATCAATTAAGTTGGGTTAATTTGGTATTTAAATAAGTCATGGGGTTATATGTGCAGATACCAGGTTGTAATTGTAATTTATTGAGGGGCTAAATTGCAAAAGTACAACATCTATAAATAAGGGGTTATGGTCCCTAACCTAGGGTTACATTCTCTAATTCTCTACACCCCCATCTAGCTAGAGAAATTCGGCTAAAAGAGAAAACCCTAAGGTTAGAAGATCCAGAACCCAAAATCAAGATCAATCTATGGATTCAGCAGGTATAAGCTTCCGCTCTCTTTTGATTTTGTTAATCTCTTTGAATTAATCATGGCTATATGGTTTTAGATCTCAAGTTTTATGATCACATGTAAGTACGGAAAGAACCACTTGATATGTATAGCATTCATGCATACGTCTCATCAGATTCATCAAATATTTTACTCAAGAATCGCAAATCAAACAGATGGTATTTTTATGAAGCAAGCATTCTTCAGAACACGGCAGGAAATACAGATAGTTGTTCTGAAACTACTAAAATAATCCCTGAATAACTCTGTAGAAATGTGTAATTGAGGAATATTTACATTTACCCTCAACCGAATATATTTATGTGAAGGAAAAATCTATCCGATCCTAAGATCCAATTATTACGAAATGGACAATACTTTCAATTAGAAAAGAAGCCGGAATAAGAATAGCCTTTTTATGGTAGAGTAATCAGGATGAACAAACATTATTTATCCTCTATTCTTCATCTTTAATTCACCATCAGAAAGGAGACACTTGATTAACAAAGGAATTTATCAACCATGTGACTGATCACTGTGGAAACAACTATTAGGAAGTAGCAAGACATATTTTTGTTTCCCTTAAGAAAAGCTCTTTGAAGTTGCTCATAATGTCCTAAAAACAAACAGAAACTTATTACTTCCAGTAGTCATAAATATCAGTACATCAAATTGATGCTGCCTGCACAATTAAGCTTTATGCTTCTAATCTTTCATGATGTTACAGCATAATTAACCCCAGTCTCTGCCGTCAGTACAATACAAATACTCACAGTTCAGTTAAATATCATACATGAACCTTGCTTTATTGAACGAACAAAACATGCACATCTTAATGAGTAAATAAGATCTTGCCTTTGAACCACTGGTTGACGGGGTCAATGACAGCTCTATGCCGTAATGAATAAGAAGGCATCAGCCTTATTTTAAAAAATTATCACAGATAGGAAAACTGTAAATATGATCGTTTTTATAACAGATAAGTACAGCTGAAAGTAACATCAGGTAACTACTTCGTCGCTAAACTATTTAAGTTAAGTTATAACTGGTTTCACGAAAGAACTTGTGGATTTAATATTACAGAGTTTAATTAAAGACCCATGGTATTATAAAATCAACATCAACGATATCAACTAAAAGCTTCAGATACATGTTCATAGATGTTCTTTTTTCCGCTAATCTACAGTAAACTAAATGCACATACATTTTCTGACTTCAGGATCAAAAAAAGGTGATAAAGAACCTTTCAGAAACTAAAACATTCAAACTCAGTGTGAATCGATTTTATTTTGATAAATGGAAACGTACTTGATGTTCTTTTAGATAAAGATGATGTGCAAATGAAGGAGGCAACCCCTAGAAAAACAGACATAGACAAGTTAATGACAATGAAATGTGTGTTACACAGCACACCAAAATAAATTTTCACCTATCTAGTATAACAAGAGATGGCAAATGCATCACAAGAAGCCCGTGTGGTAATAGTACTCGAGCATGAGTATGAAATATAGACCGTATCCAAACTCAAGCAGGTGGTATGACTTAAACTACTTAAGACAGGTAACCATTTATGATTCTTCTCTATTAGCATCAAGTATACATGTCTTGGTCAACAGGCTTTCTTCTTAAAGATTTACGGAATCAACAGCCTTTCCCAGATTCTGTTCTAAGTTCAGAACAACAAAAGAAAAACAGGCATGAACAGCGCATAACAGGAAAAAAATTCTTAAACACTAACAAAAGTCCATTAACTTGCAGCAAAGCTAACGTACACATACATAAAAGCATAAAAGATATGTAGATTAACTAACCACTTATTATAATAATATGCATGCCCAACCTCCTGAGAAAGGGTTATGACAACCTGACAGCCCATTAAGTCATCTCGAGGATTCCAAATGATATTATTCTGATAATCAACCGGATACTAAAATGTTACAATTCTCAACTTCTGCAATCAAATGCAGCTTTCCGAGAATACCAGCAAGCATGTGAGTAGATGCAGTCTCAGGGAAATCATGAAGTCTGTCCTTTGTGTAACATCTTTCCAATATCCTCATTAACTTCATACGTCTTCATTATACTACTAGTAAAAGAGGTTGGAAGATCGGAGTTACTGAGTATATAAGTCCCCATTCACCACAGCAACCAGCTTTTCCCTTTCTGCCTTGCGGGACAATAATCTCCATTCCTATCAATATTTCTGACTAAGAATCAAATGCAGATTTGTAATTTAACCTCAAGTGCCAACAAAAAGAGGCCAACTTTGTGTCCATTGATAAGTATACAGATAAGATACCTCAGAAATACATAGAGGAATAAAATCACTTCTATCTCTACTGTGGTGACACGCTGCCTAACTGAGCAGAGGCAGACCAAACTCCAACTAAGGTTTGAGCTATTGCCGCCTTGCTCGAGCTCCTAGCTCCAAGTTCAATGATCTCTCTTAGAGCCAGTTGTTGGTTTACTCTAGGTTAGTAGAGGTTGTGTTGCCTGGCAACCACGGTGGATCAAGCTCCCAGACACGTTCTCTCAGATTGGTCTTTGTAATAATACTTGATTATTTGCACGACATATTTGTACCTTATTAAATAACCTTCAATATTACAACTAATGCACACACGAAACATAATAATTTTAGAATGACAATCATCAATTAACACTATCTAGTCCTGCCTTTTCCTCTTCTTCAACTTAACAAGCAACCCATTCTTGGGCTTAATAATAACTGAAACCTTAGGCTCAACGACATTGTCCTGGACCAGTTACACAATAAAATAGTATATCACTGTAGCGGCGACCAGTTTGATCTGAGTGATTGATGTGTTCTTCCCAAACACGCCCTTGTACCTGAGTGGAATGCATAAACTTGAATGAAGGCTCTTGCTTCAGCGTCCCCTTCTCCATAATCCATCTCTCAGGCTTGACTTCCAAGCAGTCCTCACTCCTCCCCCCATATTGTCTCCATTCTTCCCATCGAATACAGAGAGACGATAATCCTTGTGCATGGCCCGACTTTGTGGACACTAGGCAAGATGCCAGCCTTCTTTGCTGCCTTATGATTGAAGGCAATTGACAGATAGAGTCACAGAGTTTCATAGAAGATGGCATGCAGATAGACCAATGTGTTGATCTCCTTATTTTTTAACACAATCATTTTTTTCATCATCGTTTATCACTTCAGAAGAGTCTCTAAGCTTCCTAAGCTTTTCTACCATCTTTTTGTCAACATTCGGGTTATTGGTGACTAGCCATAGCATCCAGACTAGTGTGGCTCCTGCGGTGTCCTTGCCTGCAACCATGTACGTGAACAATGTGTCTTGCAGAAATTTATCATCACGGCCCATGTACAACTTTATCATACCCATGTGTCCTTCTTCTTCTACTTCTTATTCTTCTTCTTCCTCCTCCTCCTCCTTGTCGGTCCTTCAATTGTCGTCACTGTTTTGAATTCTTTCTTTTTTCTCGAATACATTGGTTCATGAAATGGTCTATACCACATGCCTTTCCACCAGGCAATTGGCACTATTTTTTGGGAGATGAGTACCTGCCCGATTTAGCTGTCGCAAACGGAACCATAGGAAAAAATCAGGAGCAAGACAACCTGGATCGACCAGTTAACAAGAGCGCTTGTGGTATCAAATGTAAATCTCACAAACAGATCACTTAGATCCACCACCTTATCGAATTCAGGCACATCCTTCATTCCTTCTACAGGGGAAGAAGATTCGGAGACAACTTGTTCACGGTGCAGTCGCCTACATAGTCACGGAACCTCAGTGTGTTCATATGTGTCCGAGCCATTCTTCTCTGCTCCCTCCAAGAGTCGCCATCGGCATTGATGATGCTGTCCCCAAGAACGTAGAATATTTCGTGAAACTCATCGCCCTTCGGATAGTTGGAGAAGTGAAGGTTGAACACTTGGTTGGCACTCTCAGGGCTGCAAGTAAGCAGGATGTCCATCCCGCAAAACCATGGGCCTCTGAACATGAGGGTGTTATCAAACTCCTGAGGCATGGAAGCCACGTGGTCGAGGAGGCGATGGCTGCTAGTGATCACCATAGGGAGCATACCGGCCACCGGCCAGTTAACAAAGACCTTGCTGGCACGTTGAGCCGTGCAGCGAAGGAGGAGGGAAACAAGGAGAGCGGAAAGTATTGCTAGGAGAACCCCGGGATACCTCTGCATGAAGAGGTATCCTCCTCGCAGTGCTGCACTCCGGTACTCCATCTCTTTTTCGTTTGAGGAAGATAAAATTAAGTTTGGGATAAAATTAAGTTTGGGATATACATAGGATAATATATTGCTAATGATCTCAAACTATCTAGAACTAAAAAAAGATTAAAAATAACAATAGCTTGTACGTGAACGTCTCATTTGGAAGTTGACATTATAGCAATATAAATTTGCATGTGTTAACAATATTATTATCACTAGTTAGTGTTATGCACGAGACTAATTAGTATACTATTATTGTACATATTTTCAAATGAGATAATTATAAGCTCTAAATAAAAGGAGCCACATTACATGAGTTCCACATAATGGAATAATTAATATGTGACACAAGTAATGCGGCATATGGTTCGTGCATGTGGTAAGGCGGGCCTCGCAAGTACTCGAAGCTTGAAACTTTATGGCCTGCATTTGAAGCGGATCATTCCAACAGGAAATCAAACAGAGCCCACTTAGCCCAAATTTTAATAAAACAAAACAGGTATCCTTTCTTGCTGTAGAAATGATAGATAAATGAAGAAATTTTACCATGCATACAACTATTATAAACTTTTTTATAATTTTCAAGAACGGCTTGTATGTGTTTTTTCAGGGGAAAAAAATACAGACAAGCTATTGTTATAATTCAGCTTCCAACAGAGAATTTCACATGTATACAAGCTATTGTTATAATTTCCATTGTTTTAACTATCTCCGACATGGCCCGATATATCCTTTTACAGGGCTTGCCGCAACCAATATAGTCCTTAAATATCATTTATCACTTTTTAGTTATTTTGGGCGATATATCCCCGATATGGCCGATATATTAGTTGATATATTAACTAATATATCCTTTTATATGGCTTGTCGCAAAATAATATACAGCGTTCGGCAATTTTTGGGCAAGATATTATGATTTTTCTATCATATCAGACAACATTTTGACCTAAAAAATCAGAACAAAATGTACTTTTGATTTGTACTTTCGATTGTTTTACAAGGTTGACTAGTGATCCTAAACATACATTATTTACATTTTGTTTGCCCTGATTTTATTAAGTATGTTGAGATTATATTTTAGTGCATTATACTATATATGCAAACATCCGTTATGGCATTCCGATATTTACTACATATCCCCAATATTTCCCCGATATCCGCAATCCGCTATGAATTTTGGCCATCTAATATTTTCCCGATATTGGATATTTAAAACCTTGATAATATCAACTCTATTTTTAGTTATAGAGATATCATTATCACAAGTTATTCCCGTGTGATCCATATGATTGATATTATTACCACTTGATGTATTAATGTATGTGTTGAAAATGTTACTATCACTAGTTATGCCTGCGTGATCCATGTGACAGATACCATATATTATCATTAGATATTTTGTATGTGTTGAAAATATTATTATCATTCATTAATTTTTCCCTGTGAGAGCAGTATGTTATTGTGTAGACAGTTTCTAATGAACAATTATGAGTGTGTATGTGAACTTCTGATCAGTTGGAAGTTGACAGTATAACGATTACTTGTGTTGGCTGAAAATATTATTTTCATCACTAATAATTGGATTATTTGCATATTTTATAACAATAACTTGAATGTGAGCTTCTCAGGTGGAAGTTGACATTATGAAATAGGTTGTATGTTTTGAAAATATTATCATTGTTGTTTGTTGTTACTACTTTTATGTGCTTTTATCATCATCATCATAATCATCATTATTGATTGGGCTACTTACCAAAGACCTTATATACTATAAGAGTGTGCTAGTTATCATTTATATTCTATTGTACAGTGCATACACCCATGATTGTATGACTACCTGGTTTTTCATTAGTTTTGTGCTCTAGTGAGAATCACATGATTGCAAAGTATCATTCTGACTCTTAGATCTAGTTTATATATGATGATATCATAAAAGATGGGCGATAATTAGCTACAACTGTACAGTATAAAACAGCAAACAGTATAAATAATTCTTATTAATTTTTTAAACATAGACTACAGTCCGTTCTTGATATAGTTATCTTAAAATGGCATAATTATAGGTAGGTCGCAATTTGGTAATTTGAAACAAAATTGACACGGCACAAGCATTGTGTATACACGTGACTGTGAGAAGAACAAATGTACCACTCTGGTTTAAAGAAAAGATATCTGCCCCCATTTAGAAATGCAAAGAATATGATATCCGTGAATTTTCTGTATATCAGATATGGATATTGATATCAGATATCTGATTGGTATCAGTATTCGACTTTGGTGAACATGGATAAGAGTTTTCGTTACAGAACTGCATCCATATTTGTATATGAATCTGTTATTAGTAAGCGGATACATATATACAATAAATATCACATCCGACCCGTTTGAGTTTATTAATTTGATGATTCACTACATGCTACTATAGTTTTCCAAGTAACAAAATCATGCATTTGCTGACCAAAGAACAAGCTGAAGGAATGAAGATCAACAGAGAAGGTAAAAGGCAGCATCAAGATCTTTCAAAGCACAGAATATGCAAAAAATACCCGAAGCATTGCCCACAAAGAAATATATTATTCGTGCAGTATCTCATGGCTGATTTTCTTATAATCAACAACAAAATTCAGAACAAAATTATTATTCTCAAGGGGAAAAAATAAAAAGATTCAATGTTTTAGCAACTAAATTACATATTTCCATCAAGAATTCGTACTAACCAGCAGAAAGATCCGATTCTTACTTCTCCTCTCCTGCTCTCCCAGAAACCCCACAGCATTTGTTGATTAGAAAACTCGGTGGCCCTGCAACCTGAATCCCTCATCCATCAAACCCTAAATTCAGCAACCCTAGAAATCAGAAAACGCCGTCGATGAGAGCCAGTGGTTTTGGTTTCGCCGGCGTCAGAGATATCGGAGTAAACCCCTTGGATGATTCTCAGATAACCTCCCAAAACTTTGGGCGAGCAAAATTACGGAGATGCTTCTTTTGTACAGTGGAAAATAGCGATTTTCTAAAATAAAAAAATATTATCCGTAAACCCAAACTTTTACCTCATTTACTTTTAAGTCCACACACTTGTCAAAAGAGATTTTTTCCGAACAAACCCAAAGTTTTACCCCTACTTAGTCTAAAGCAAATTAATCTTGAATTTCGACAACTTAATACGATATAGCTTGCTATTTTTTTATTCCAAGTGGTTAGATATACTGTGTATTTTTAATGCCGCAATCTACTCAAGGATAATCAGGCCTTTATACATAGTATATATTTTAAAATTATTTACTAATTATATTTAGAATTTTAATCCACATTTTAACTATATATAAAGTAATAGGCCATACTTGCTAACTACATTCTTTTTTAATAAACCACCCAAGGAAAACAAAAAATCAAATCTCTATAACTACGAGTCCCTCCCCCACGTTCTCTTCGCAAATCCAGCAGCAAATAAAAGTTTTGAATCTCTCCCTTCTCCACCCAGGTAACATCATCTCATCTCTCAACGAAAAGAGTCTGCATTCGCCGTCGACATATCCAACTTCGTCACCGAGGCGAAGATGAGAAAAGGAAACAGCAGAAAGGATTGCGAGAAATATAACTCGTCAAGATTCGTGACATCTTCGTGGACAATGTCATGTTCTTTGATTGCCCAAAGCGGCATCCCCTCCGACACAACACCACAACACGATCAAAATTAGATCATCTAAGCATGATACATGAGCCTCCCTTCTGCTGCTTGTATAACTATGTCAACTACATGAAACTAAAATTTACTGTCAATCCCTCCAGCCTTTGCAAAATGGCCTGTTTCACTTACAGTATCCCCAACATCGATATTTTTTTCGAAATAAACAGATACATTACCTACAGGTATCGTCTCGGACCAAAATCTAAGTTTATAAAATGTCACTGTGCTTGATGGGGGTAAAACCCCATATTGGGCGGTTGCAAGGGCCTATAACTAGGCTGCATTGGCTGCTGCATACCAAACTGTGGCTGCTGCTGATTCAAAGCCTGATGCATCATCTATGCGTTGAATCACGTCATCTGCTGCTGAGGTGCGGAATGGACCCTGGCCGCACCAGAGACTCAGCATCTGAGGTGCGGAGGGAGGGTGGCGTGGGCTGGTGGTGGATTCACAGTCGAGTAAGTGTAAGGCAATCCCACCATCATGCTAGGAGGCTGAACATATTGCTGAGTTGTCGTAGCTGCAAATATATTATACTGCGGTTGTTGGTTATGTACTGGGGTTTGTTGCACTAGAACAGCTTGAGGCAGTGATTGGACTGGAATTGGTGAAGGGTTTTCATGTTTTGGCGTTATAGAGGGTGTATTTGATGAAGTTGTTAAGGTAGCATTCTTGGCTTCCTCTGCTGCGAAGCTAGAGAGGACTGAAGTCATGATTTGTTGGGAGTGGGTAGAG